TATGCACCAAACGGAAGTTTATCTGAGCACCTGCATGGTAAGTTGGTAACTATAATGGCAACAAGATGTCTAATAGTTAAAAAGTTAAGTCTTCTGTTTACGAAGTTGCATTAACATGTTTTCTTTTGATTTTCAGTGAAAGAGCTTGAACATCTGGACTGGAGTACAAGGATGAGGATTATCATTGGAACAGCTTACTGTCTCCAGCACATGCATGGTCTCAATCCTCCACTTCCACATGGCCATTTGAACTCCAAAGCTATATTTCTGACGGATGATTATGCTGCCAAGGTAGGGTTGCATATCTTCGCACTGATTCTAGAGGTTTATTTAGATTGACCAGACTGTGTTTGTATCCTTCATAATGACTTGTGGAAACTTAACCAACTGAATTTGTGGCGGTCTCAGATTGCAGACATAGCCTTTTGGGATGAATTTGTTAAAAAATCTGCAGAGCATGAAGGACAGCAGTTGGAATATCCGCTACTTGAGGATGAAGAAAGTGATGTATACAATTTTGGATTACTGTTGCTCGAAGTAATCTCTGGGAAGCTTCCTTACTCAGAAGAACACGGGTCTCTCTTAAATTGGGTAAATTTCCTACCAGATTCTCTTACTTCCCTACCTTTTTAACTCTTCGAATCCATTTTACATCTTTTGCTTCAACATGACTTTTATCACACTGTTCAGGCTGCGGAATACCTGAATGACAAGAGAAGCATCAGCTATCTGATTGATCCAACGCTGAAGTCATTCAAGAATAACGAGCTTGACATCATCTGTGAGGTTATTGCAGAATGTATTCAAGAAAATTCAAGAAAGAGACCAACCATGAAGGAAGTAGCTACGAAATTGAGAGATGCCCTTGACATATCACCTGATTCAGCAACCCCACGGCTTTCTCCGCTTTGGTGGGCTGAACTTGAGATTTTATCTTCTGAGGCAGCTTAAATATTCAGCTCAGGGTCTACATGGTGCCTCAAGTTTGCATATTAGTCTTATCGTGCCTTCAACAAAATCGAAAATTCCAATATACATCATTTTTTTTTTCCAGTTTCTTTGGTATGCCATTTTTTTATTCTTATTCTTCAATTGTTTACTTCAAGCGGGACAAAACTTCGTCCCACGCACCTAAGTTATGTATATAGAGATTATGAACTGGCATGTAAGAGTTGTTTAACCTGCTGTTGAGTCAGAAAGAGATTTTTTATATGTATTTATCCTGTGTGTGTCATAGGAAACCCTGTGTAGGATTATCATTTACTCATGGTTTCAACATGACCAAATTTTGAAGTTTTGATGAGACTATAAATGGATAAGCTTTCATTGATCATATAGCAGGAAATTTGCTGCAAGCAAAAAGTTGTACACAACAGCTCAAATGTCTTGGTCTTAAATTCCTCGAGTCCTCCGAACCTCTGCAATGCAAGAAATCAACACTTCCGAATTTAGGTTGAAAAAGTCTCCAAGTTGCAACAAAAAGTCTCAAAGATAGATAAGACTATTTGGAAAAAAATATTTCTAATATATTTGTCTGCAACAAAAAGGGAATTTTTATTTCCAGCTCTTCGCATTGGATGAAGCAGACAAAACTTTGGATTTTAGGATAGGTACATGAATTTTCAAATTCTTTGAAAACAATAGAAGAATAATCATCCTGATTTAAGGATGAATTGGCTTGCGGATTTGAACTGCCAATGACTTGCTGATTTCAGCTGCCAGATGATCTTTAAATTTTGTAATGAAGAATTTGAAAACTACCAATACTTCAATCCGACTACTGTCGATCTAATGCTGGAGGGAGGCATGACAATGTTACATATTAAACCCCCGGCCGACAACTCGTTTTGGGCGAATAGTTCAATTGGTAAGTAAATTGGTTGAATTGGTAGGTTCTATAAAATAATTCTTTAAAGTTACATAATTAGGGGTGCAAACGAGTCGAGCTCGAGTCGACCTTTGGCTAATCGAGCCGAGCTCGAGTTAATTTTGTGAAACTCGAACTCGAGCTCGACGAGCTCAAAATATCAAGCTCGAGCTTAAAAAATAAAAAATAATTAATTTTATTTTATTTTTAAAAAATAAAAAATAATTATTTATTTTTAAAAATGAATAAAACAATAATTTTTTTAACAAATAATAAAATATTAGGGATATATATGTAATTTTACTATTAAAATAAAAAAATAAAAAATAAAAAATGTATATATAATTGAGCTCACGAGCCAACGAGTTTAATGTTTTTGAGCTCGAGCTAATTAAAATGTTTTTGAGCTCGAGATCGACTTAATTAGCTCGAGCTCGATAGTGACGAGCTCGAGTCGAGCTCGTATTCGAGCCGCTCGCGAGCGGCTCGATTCGCGAAACACCCATAGTTTTTAACCAAATCGTAGTTGTCTCGAACATAATTATGCTATTGTCAGTCTCATCTTTTGTGCTTTCTATTAATTTGGAGAAGTAGAAATTATAAAATCATACCAAGTATACTTGTAAATGATAAGCTGAATGAAAAGTTTGAAATAATTCGAGAAAGATGATCAAGGTCATAGTTTTTTCTCTTGGAAGATAAAAATTCATATTAATACAATCATTTTGGATTCCCGATCTCTCCATTCAACTGCCGGTTTCACTCGGTCCAAACAATTGTGTCTTCTGTTTTCGATTAGACCAGTAAACTAGCATGATTCTATAGTCAATTTACCAACTTGATCGATTCAATTGCTGTCTTGAATCGAATTTAATGACAATGTTTTAAAGCTTTTTTTTTTGTTAGTACAACATTTTTATAAGTAATCCTATACTAGGGGAGTGGAGAGAGCGATAGTGGTGAAGCCAACTAAACTATTGAGAATTCGAAGAAAATAAAATAATCTTTAAAAATATTTTAAAAAATCCTGAACGTGAAATGTCATAAGGAGTTTCAAATCCCTTAACTTCTAAAGAGGGACTTTTGTCTTTCTTTAGTGGCCAAGTAATCTAGCTCGATTGATAATGGGTACGTCAAATTGTTTGGTGTGTGGCATATAAGCTCGGAGCAGAGACTTTTTTTTTTTTCTTTTTGTTGTTTATCAATTATAAACAGTTTATCCTAATCCTACATTATAGGAGGGGAAGTGTCCAATTGTGCTATGTATGAGGACCGGAGAAAAAAGAGACTCCTGCAAACCAACAAGTGCATTACTGCCCCTTCTCTGAACTTGTCGGAGAACAGGAAGCCAACCTTCCCTAGATAACGCAGCTAGCGGGAGTCAAGCTCTCCACCTGCTCCCCAGAAGGACTCAAATTTGCCTCCTCGACCACTAGACCGAAGTCTTAGAGACTTAGGCCAAAGATTTTACTTGGCTAAAATTTACATTAATGCTTTGTCCTTGCTATAACAACTTCAATAAGAAAACTGGTTGAGCTTTTCCAGAAAAGCTTACAAGGGATTTCATGTACACATAATTCAACATAAAGCCATCCCCTCTCTCTATATATATCATGGTTCGCCAGAAAAAACATATATGGCTCACGAGACATGAAACATTGGGATGAACTCATCAATTGAGAGCGCAGCCAGGTTGACTAAGAATGACATAGTATCCAGTTATGGCATCTTTGAAACAAAATTAAATCAATTCTTTGGTGATTGAGACATCATATATTTTGCACACAATAGCATGCATATTCTTCTTCTTCTTCTTTTGGGTAATAACAGATAAATAGCATATTCTCAATTCTAACCTTTTGAGTTCTGTACTCATGGTATCTTCTTATTATGATATGACCTTGAGCTCTTTAATAGAATTATTTTCTGGTTTTTTAACATTACATTTTTCATAAAAATAAAAAAGACAAGCCACACCACATCATTACCGGCAGGGACGGAGCCAGAAATTTATTTTTGGGGGGGCTAAAGTGTATTAAAAAATTTTTTTTTGACGAAATAAATATATTTAATAAGTAAAATTTAGAATCAATAATTATAAAAATAATAAAAACATATAATTATACATACCCAAAAATTTGTTCTGAATTTTTGGGTATGTAACTTACCCAAATCTACAAATCTACAAAAGAAACAACGAAAACAGAAGGCCTATCAAGATATGTATAGTACTCGGAGGCATAAACCGCTCAAAAAAATAGATTAAGAATTGCCCATCGCATACTAAAATAGTTTAAAAATTGCCCCTTTCATATGAATTTGATAAGTTCTTGGAAATCTCAAAATGCTCCAAAAAAATACTCTAAACTATCAATAATCTATCACTCACCCTGCTTATTGATTTCATGATCAGAATTCGAAATAAAATAAAAAACTAAGGCGGTCAAAAAGCGAAATAGCAGGAAAACTTTGATAGTAATTGCAAATTTAATTCTTCTTGAAGTGCAAGGGATGTCATAAGCGTTAAATCAAGAACTTTTCTAAATTCCAGGAAATACATTTACAGCATTCTTTGTTCCAGAACATACATTTATAACAGCACCAACAACTATTGTTGGCAAGCTTCTTGATCAACAAAAGAAAGCCCACTCCACCATATAGTTCATGACAGCGATGCACAAAAAATACTTTGCCAACAACCAAACATCTGAAATAAAAAAAAAGGCTATGTTTCCCAGGCTCTATGTTTCCGAGTCTCACAGGCTCTAACAAAGTCCAGAATATATGATGAATAACTACAGAGTTCAGACCTGCTCAAAACATTTTAGGAAAATCCAAGTTATTACATCACCAGCAGGTGAAAACATAAATAACTATTGAAAATTTCAGACAATAATACCAGTATCCTAAGAGACACATAGGAAGAGAAAGGTAGTACCTACCTACCTACCTAGTTACCTACTGCATTTTAGAAGCAAACATTTGGAATCCCCTATATATAGGGGGTTTTCCGGAGGCTTGGGGGGGGGGCTTAAGCCCCCACCAGCCCCCCCTTAAATCCGTGCCTGATTACCGGTGCATATATCACACATATATTATGCACCAACTAGATTCTACTAAACATAATTACTAGCTACTTGTGATTTTCACATTCATCAACGGACCTTTTTTCTCTTTTCTTCCCCCATTTTCTCATCTGAATTTGCAGCACTGATGAAGAAGCCAAGAAGTCCGCACTCTGCATTGGATTCAACACATCCAACACTCCTTTCAGAGTCTTAAGCCTCACACAATCAGCCATTTTCATCACTTTTTCCAAGCCAGCCAGCAGCTCTTTTATCGCCATCTCCACAAGCCCATTGATCTGACTACTCGAGGCCGCCGCCAGGTGCTCGCCATTCTTGGTTAAACTCACCAGCCTCGCCAGCTCCACCATCTTCCTATCCGCCATGGCCACTTGCTGCCTTTCCATCTCCCTCTCCACCTTCTCCTCATCCACCCTAATCCTGCTCCTCAAACCTTCAATCTTTTTCACTTGCTCTTCACTCAAATCAGCCAGACTTGTTGCACCGGGTACTTGGCCTTTCCTTAGCGAATCAACAAGCCTCAAAATCATTGACGGCTTCCAACCAGTGATCCATAGATATGCATTCTCCAAAGGGCTCAACCAAACAGGTGTAAAAAAGGCCAAAACATCCTCACTGGCGCAAGCCCATTTGGCAGTGTAGTAATCTTTGTGATGTTGTGTTAATTTGTTCACTAATGGCACATAATGTACCTCCTCATCAGAAGATTTGTCCTCTTTTTTGAGAGTGAGATGATGCTGTACATATTCTTCTAGTTTAGACATCCATGTTTCAAAGAAGTTGGAGAACTTCTCCTCAATTTTGGTTCTCATTTTTTCTCCAAGTTAAAGATGTGAAATGAGACCGATGGGAGCCAAACGAGAACAAGGTTCATTGAAGCAAAGATAGGCTATATATAGATGTTGTGGCCTAAGGGTGGACGTGAAAAATGAGGAGACCAGATGGAAGATGTAGCCAGGGACACGCTGCAAGTGAGGGGGCTTAGTTTGGGAAATGCGTGGCTCCTGCTTGGCTTACGCGCAAGCAATTAGCCAACAGTCGATCTCTAGGGTTGGCCAACCCTTTGCAGCAGCTTGGGGACGGCAATATGGCATAACATTAATCTCTCTCCCACTCTCAGGCGTTGTTTGGATGGAAGTAATTTGGAAGAAATGGAAGAGAAATATGACTTTTCTTTTCCTATTTTGGGAATTTGATTTTGAAGGGAAAAAAGGAAAATGACATGGCCGTGGTAATGATAAGTATAGAAGTAAAGGTGTATATATTTGTCCAGAATGTTAAGATAATGAAAGAATTTTTAGGGCAACAGATATAAGTTTGTCAAATTAAGCAATTGACTTGTTTATTGAGAAAAGTTGCAAGATGTATTCTTTGAGAAAGTAATTACTAATTCTAAAAAGTCAAAGATAGATCAAAAATAACATTTATATGTTTGATTTATTAAACTGAAACAACTAAGAGAAAATTTCTACACTTAAGCCACATGCATTGTAGTCTTTGAAAACTTTTGGAGAGATTTTGTAAGAAAATAACACTGCAATATTTTGATATATGTGAAATAAAAAGTGACTACTAAATCTGTTAAAGAGAATAATATTCTTAATATTCTCAAAAAATAATTGCTAAACTATGAAACAAACAAGGCCTTACCCCCCAAGTCTCTCAACCTTTGACCGTCCTGAAGAGGCATGCATACGACCACCTGGTGCCTGCTTGCTTCTACGAGGGAACGTGGCAGAGCCAGAAGCAGAAGGCCCACGTGGACGACGCTGAGATTAATGCATGCTTCTTCGTCATCCTGCTTTATGCAGCAGCAATCACCCTGAGGTGGACTCAGCTTCAGGTGCCTGCAATCCTTGTCTGTCCCTGTCAGCATTGATGATGATGATCCAATCTTTCTGAACCAGCGTGTCTCTCTGATTGTGACAAGCCCTGCACGTTGCACTTGCACAGTACGTATGTTGTGGCAAGTCATGATGAGTGCAAAGGTTCGTCAGTTGTAGCAGTCTTACCATTTCAAAAGAAAAGAAAAGAAAAGAAGCGTTTTTGATGTCATTTAATTACACTTCAGGATGTTGAGGATCTTAGTGATCAAGATTTGAGTCAAGGTTTTGGGTTACTTAGGTCGAAAAAGGGGGATTTGAAAGAAAAAAAGAAAAAGAAGCGAAGAAGAATTAGTAGTTCTTTTCCGATTAGTTTTGAGGGAGGGGAATGAAGCCAAAAACAAATGAAGGGAAAAAAATCAACAAAAAGAAAAAAAGTAATTAAGTAATGATTATACGAAAGGGATACATACGATTGAGCTATTCCTATTTTTCGAACGATGTAATAATTTTTTAATACGTTACAATTCATAATCAACAACTTATATATTTCTACTATAAACACATATGCTATATTTAATTGCTAGTTATATATGTTAGTTGTTTTAGAATTACGTGACGTTTTCTCGTTCTTACAATTTGAGTTTTAACATTGTTGGTCGATTTGAAGTCATATATATATCATTTAAATGGCTGATTATGACAAACGCTCCTACCCCTTACCCAATGACTATGCCACTAATACACAAACAAATAAAATGAGAAAATGGCCCCAAAATGGTTGTGCAGGACTCTCTTTGGATAATTTATTCCCCAAAGAAAAAAAAAGAGAAAATGGCCCCACCCTGTCTTTAACTTTTTCTTCACTCCCTATATTTGATAAATTTCACACTGTTAGGGGTGTGCATCAAATTCAAAATTGATAATTCAGAAGTTTAAATTTGAAAATTTTGATAAATTGAACACGGTAAATTTTGACCCATATCATTTTCAATTCAAAACTTTTGAATTCAATTTCGCTCCAAATTCACCAAAATTGTATAAAAAAACTGGTTTGGAATTTATTTTAAAAAATAACCTAGATTAGTTAGTTAGAGGTATTATACTATTGTTATTAGTATATAATATAACAACTTACATATATTATAACAATCTAGATTAGTTAGTTTGAGGTATTATATTATTATTATTATTATATAGTATAATGACTTACATATATTATATATTATTAGATATACGAAATCGAAATTGAATTAGGTAATTGAATCCCAATTTCGATTTGTGAATTTGAAATCGGAATTTCCATTTTTAGGAATCATGGCCTCGAATTCGATTCAACTTCACCACTTTTGAATACAAAAACTCCAAATTCCTTTCCATTTTCTAAATTCTCAATTTCAAATTTTCGAATTCAAATCGAATTCTGTCGAAAAATCGAAATTTTTTGGATTTGCACACACCTACACACTGTTAGTTTGTCAAAAAAAAAAAAATTTATCGTAATCTTCACTTGTATTGTATAGCAATACTGAATCAACAAATAGAATAATTAACAAAAATTTTGCTCACAGGGTAGAGCTAAAAAGAAGTAAAATGCATTTAAATGCTTACTAATAAGACGAATGTCAATATTACAAAAATTATAGTCAAAATACAAAATATAGCAAAAAAACTTTATTAGCTACTAAGCTATTTAAAAATCGTGCACTTTTGTCCACTCAATTATTTTTTATTTTAAATATTCCACTAAACTTTGAAAAATGTATATTAGTGGTCAATTCATAAGTTTTCACCTATTATTTTATGCTTTTCCTTTAATTTTAGCATTGTTTATATCAATTCATTCGTATTATTTGTTTATGTTTTTTTCCTCTTTCCTCTCCCTCTCTCTCTCTTCTTCTTCTCTCTTCCCTACCGTTGCTTTCTTTATTGCAGAACCATTCCATTAAAGAACCACTAAGTTACTCCATTAAAGATGTAGCTAAATCTGGTTTCCGACAAAATTGGCATCAAAGTACTTGATCCTGAACCGCTTTTCGATCCAGTCATGGTAGAAAGTACTTGTTTAAAAATGCTGGAAGAGCGACTCAAGAAACAAGAATTGAACTTGCAAGAAACAATCGGATTCCATGCACAAATTTCAACAGCAACTTTGCAATGAATTGCGTTATGAATTGTAATACAATTACAAAAAATATAATCAAAACAAATGCAAATTGACCAAAAAAAACAAAGATAATCGTCTGAGAATTGCTTTGCATGAACGCTGTGTACTGTTCTTGTTAGTGAGTTCTCTGCATGGAGAATGGACTACCGCATTTTGACATATAATGATCGATCAGGGTGGACATCCACATCGATGTTCACAGTGATCATTGATTTGGACCAACCCAATTTGACATTCAAAAGTCAATCCGACAAGGTTCCAAACTTTTGCCTCTGATGCTAGTCTTGCACACTGTTTTTCGCATGCATGCTTCAAAGCAATCTCGAAAGGCTTTTGTGTCTAGTTCAATCGTCATCAACAGAACAGAGAGTTATATTGAACCGGGGGCTTTCCCAATACGGTAAAAGTTTAGCAAATGTTTTCAGCCAGTGGGTTTTATTTCTTTCCTCCGCAAGCCTGTTCTGGTAACAGAATTTGCCTGCCTTTCTTTCTTGACGGGCCCAACATGAAAAAGAAAAACGATTAAAAAGTGAAGTGGAATTCTTCACCCCAGCATCCTACGACATCAACTAAACTGAAGTGGAATTCATCGTTAGTCAGTAGAATGAACTGGGGAGGTTTGTCAGAATATATGCACGGTATCTAAATTATAAATCAAGATTAACGAACTCAAACAGGGAACATATAGCAGGCCCACAACATAACTTATATATATAGCACAAATAAAAGCAAAGATGATTCTTGAGGAGAATGCCTGAATCTTTGCTACCCATAATCCAAATTCGGGTTAGAACCAACCAACAAGGAACTGACTATTTTTGGGTTAAAGGAGTGCTAAGTTATAAAATGACCATCATTTTTTTTTTATCCAAAACATGTCCCGACTCGAATCACTTAAGAGCCGAACTGACACACCTAACCGAACAATACGGTGCCACGACCCCCCATGACATATCCAAGTTAGACAAGGAGATTCAAACTTAGGAAAAAATTCGAATTAATGATCTCATTCAATCCAAAAATCCGTTTTACCGTTAAACTATCCCTAGGGCATAAAATGACCATCATGTCTTTCAATATTCACATATATCTCTCAGAAAGCCGGCCTTGCTTAATGCAAGGTGCAGAGAGATAAATACGAAAAGAGCAATAAGCCATCCACAAAGTAAGTTGAGGGAGAGTTTTTGGATGTCTAAGGGCAAATCTGAGAGAAGTCACGAGGAAGAATACAAAACGCAAGAAATTCTGTCGTTTAAACTTTGGTCAAATGACTAAAAACTCAGCCTCATAAACCTCCCTCATTGCCTCCATTGCCTCGTCCAGTGGTAAAATAGACTGGCAAGGGCAAAACCGTCAAAAGATGCTGCCACATTACATACTTCAGAGCCACTCATTCCAATCTAAACAGCTATCCAGCAGACTTATTGGTGCCCAGTTTTACTGTTCCTTTAATGGTGCCCAGTTTTACTGTTCCTAAGTGCAAATCCCACTTTTCTTACCCACTTTCACTCACATCGAGTGAAAAAGGTCAAGGGTTCGAACCTTGCATCCCCCAAAATTTGTCACAATATGTGACAGTTTTTATTGACCAATTTCGATGGAGTTTCTACTCACATCGAGTCCCCTCCCCTTCTCCTCTAGAATAGGCTAGTTTAGATTATAGGAATTCTATCGTGTCGACAAAAAAAAAAAAATACCCACTTTCACTAGCTCATCCTCTTACCCTATTCTCAATCTCTCTCCCACAAGTTACAAGACACATTCCACTATGGAAGGCAGGCAGTAGCTTCCCCTATTTTGTTTTCTTTTTCTTTTCAACTTT